CCTTTCACCATGTAGCTGAGTCACTGCTTTCTATAGAATTTAGTCCAGCTCTCTGGATAATCTGCTGAAATACCTACCCAATACCTTCTCCTCGCATTCCACTTGAGCTGCTTTACTCATGTCAGTGCAGAGGGCAATGCCAGTCAGTAATATAGTAAAGGGTACCAATATTAATCAATGAAGGATCCAGGACTAATTCCTGGATTTTTGCCAGTCCCTAACACATTACAGTACTCAATCAGCCAGAGACAGAGAGATCCAATAGTAGATTTTCAGCTGAAAGTAAGCAAAATAAGGCAAACTCCACTCACAGGAAAAGTATGAGAGGGAGAAGGCGCCCCACACACCAAAGTATACATTTTTTTATAAGTTCAACATGAAAAGAAAGAGGCAAAAGGGTAGGGAGAAGGAGGAGAACAAGAGGGGCTGCAGGTGCCTGGGCAACAGGCTAGAATTCATTTCTCCCCAGCCCCGTGTAAGACACTCAGACTTCTCCAAGATCAAACTTCTCATTTAGAAATACCTTAATTGTAAATTAGAATAAACTCTGACGGACACCCCCCTCCTCCTCCCTTGTTCATTCTTACCTGCCTAAGCAAAACATTCATATATCAAAGCAAGTTAAAGAAAGCAAAATGGCTACCGTTAGGCTAAGATATATTTTATATGTATTAACTGGACGCCTTCAATAGATTCCTACATAGCTGTATAGATTCATGCCAGAGCTGTGTCCGTTCAGTGGCAAAAGCTGCACAGGTGAGTTCCTGGGTGACCGGAGCTTGCTAAAGTTACTTTTTGGATCACACTTCCCACAGTCCATCCCCCTCCCTGACCCGTCAGCATGACCGCTGGTCTGGCCTTTTCCTTAGAACTGAGCAGCTTTCTTCATTACAGTAACACACTTAGCTCACAATTACAGAAATAATGATTTACCTCTACATTGCAATCATATACACCTTATTATTGGCCAGGAAGGCCCCCGGTCTGTGTTACAGGTTGATGGGCAAAAGGAGGGAGAGCAACATCCAACTGCTTGGAGTGCCTGCATCCTCTCTCTTCCTTCACGTGCTTACAGAACACAGCCCTGCAGCAGGATACTGCATTTATCCATGAAGGTCAGCAGGATCCAACACAGTCACCGAGTAGCTACTGTGGCATGCTCACAACCACACCAAGTATGTCTTTGAGATAAAGAAATGAACTTCTTGCAGGATAGTCACACATACACACACAAAACACCACTCTTGTGCATGCATCATGCTGTCATTTGGGCTCCTTGCACATCAACACTCACTACTATGGCATGGTATTCTGGAATATGATAGAAGAATTTGGGCTCCTTGCACATCAACACTCACTCCTGAACACTCACTACTACAGCATGGTATTCTGGAATATGGTAGAAGGAATTGCTGTATATGATGAAGAGGCATTTGCAGGTGGGTGGCATGCAACTGTGAATACGTATGCAACCATATGTGCATATTTAGTCTGTGGGTAATTAAGACGACTACAGGGAGGAAGATATGGGAACAAGGGGACATTGCTCATACATGTAACTGATTGTACAGAGATGAACAAAACAAAAATACATAAGTTGGTCACTGTCCAGCACAAGTGTCCACAGAAATCAAAGATCAGAAGCAGACATAATTTTATGTGACATTATTTCCATGGGGAATAATAGGCTCCTTAGCTGGTTCTGCTTCTGGTTCATAGTCTATATCTATCTGGGTAGAAAGCCCAGATGTCAAGTCTATGATGGTGACCCTGATCTTGCATTACATGCCATATACATTGCTGTCCAGGTCTTGTGTAGGCATCCTTCAGTCTCGAGAGACTATCGTAACATGCTCTGAATAGAGGTCTTGGAACAGTGTGTAGTGCAGCTGAGAAGGCCAATAAAAGAGTGACAATCCCTTCCACACTGAAGACAAATACAATCTGTCCCCTGTCCAGCTCCCTGATTTTGCTGGTTTTGGGACTGCTTCTTTGCCTCGGCCTACTGGACGAGGGTCTCTTCAAATTGAGAGAGGCTCTGCTACATTGCCTGCCTCCAGGCTGAACACTCAGATGTCAGGGTTTCCCATCTGTTGAGGTCCATTCCTAAGGCCTTCAGATCCCGCTTGCAGATATCTTTGTATCGCTGCTGTGGTCTCCCTCTGGGGCGATTTCCCTGCACTAATTCTTGTGGCATTTACCCCGTGGTCCCTGTTTGTTTCACCAAACACAGAGCTCACACGAGTATCCCAACATGCCCTTTAACAAGCTGCCACAAGTTGATCTCTTTATCAACCTATATTTTCCTATGAAAGACTGAGTTCTGTTCTGTACTTAACTTTTAAACAGAAACAAGTTTATTGATTACAAGTTGTTTTAGGAATAGTTCTTAACCACATTCTTAAGGTTACACAAAGCTTCCGGTATTTTACTTTAACCTCTTCTATCTTCATTAATACAGGTCACACTCTGACTAATCATTCCTTAAACACTCTCTCTGCCTCAAAACCCCAAAACTCCTTTCCCAAACTCTGTCTCTGACTTAACTGAGTCCCCCAACTCATCTCTCTCTCACCCCCCCCCTTCTTGGTTTCTCTGGCTCTGCCTCCCAACAGCTCCCATTGGTGCAGGCCAATACCATTATATATATATACTGTATAGAAATACAGGGTGTTCGCTACAATATTCCCATGTGAGCTGCAAAAGCACCACAATGCACAAATCTTGTCTCTGTATTTCTCAAGCACAATCAGTTGTTTAAGGTTTCCATCTCCACCCCTCTGAGGTGCTAACAAAACTTCCCTTTATAACATTGTTATCTAGTACTACTGTATATATCTCTCTGGGCAATGAAGAGGGAGTTCCCTTTGCTTTCTCAAAGCACTGCAATAAGGGTGGTATCCTCCTTTTGTTCCTTATCAAATGATGAGTTATTAGGGTTTTTCATAAGAATTAGATCAGCTTCTTCACGACTATTAGGCTGATTTTCTAAAGAATGTTCTTCCAGGCTTCCCTCAGCTGCAGTATCCTTTTCTACTGTAGGGGGTGATTTTTGGGGCCCCTTTGAGCGTGTAAGAACAAAAGCACTCTTAACATGCTCTGTTAAGTCGCAACCTATGAGAAAAGCAGCTGGTTGTTTCATCAGAAAGCAGATTTTGATATGTATGTTACATCTCTTGGGAAGTTCCTTCCTACCCATGTATATGAAGTTGGTACTAGAGGATCAATCCCCATTAAGGAGGCAATCCATCAGCCTGAGATGTGTTTTAGACGAGTGTAGCAGCAATGGCAACATCTTTGTTCTGTACAAAGGACCCTGATAAATGCAGAGGAAGGGAGAACACAGCATCCTCAAGTACTGTAAGGCAGTGGTCCCTAACTTTGGGCCTCCAGATGTTCTTGGACTTCAACTCCCAGAAATCCTGGCCAGCAGAGTTGGTGGCAAAGGCTTCTGGGAGTTGTAGTTCAATAACAGCTGGAGGCCCAACGTTTAGGACCATTGCTGTAAGAGGTCAACTCTGTCTCTCTGGAACAGGTCTGCTTACCCAAAAAGAGACCTTGTTCAGGTAACAGCATGAGTTAGGAATAAGTAAGAGCTAGGTTAGAGAGAACTTCCTTATTTTCCTAAGTTTGTGCCTTCTTTGAAAAGATCCAAGATTGATTTTGCAACTTTTTGTGATTAGATTCTTTGATGTCAAGAAGCTTTTGAGTAACTTTTGCTCTTTTTTTGTAATCATTTTATCTGTTTTTATTCCTTTTTCTTTTTAGCAAAATACATAAAATGCTATTTTTCTGGAACTCTCTGGCTTTCTCCATAATCCAGCGCAAGTTAGCAATTTGGTCTCGAGTTCCTCTGCCTCTTCGGAATCCAGCTTGTACTTCTGGAAGTTCTCGGTCCACATACTGCTGAAGCCTACCTTGCAGGATTTTGAGCATTTGTTTTATTAGGATGATAGATTTTGAAATGTAGAATTGTCATCCACACTTGAGACAAAACATTCAAATAAAAACTCAGGTAAAATCTGGATAAATCTTATTTTGCAAAGAATTAACAGGAGAAACACAACCAGTTCCATTCCCCATACTTGTAGGTTTGAGAGGCAGCAGACTAACAGCCATTTGCTTTTTAAAGTTACAAATAATTCTAGGTGAATTAGCCCTCTAAGTATTAATTGTCTGTATGCAACGCCTGTAGATTATTTCATCTCCATGTAGTTGCACATCAGAATGGGGAAGAAGCAGTTTTGTCTCAGCCTATAAATTTGGTTAGTTGTGATCAGAGGCTAGTGGCTAAGAGGGAACATCATACCAGTCAGTTGAGCAGTAAATGGTATCCAAGCAAATGAAAACATAAAGGGAACCTTAATCTTGTATTTCAGTCAGGAGACTAGCATAGAAGACTACACCAAGTTTTCATTTCCTGCTTCCTGTGTAAATGAATCAATACCCTTTTCCTTCTTTTAAATGTTTAATTCGTCCCCTTCACTGCTCTCATTTAGGATGTATTTTTAATGTTTACAGCTGATAAACTTTTCCCAATGGTTTTGGGGTGATGTGACAGCAATCCAGGCTGTCCTCTCATCATCCTGAATTGTAAAGCTGAACTGGATCCCAAGCATCATCTTTATCCTACCTCATCCTGAATTGTAAAGCTGAACTGGATCGCATCATCTTTATCCTACGAATGCAGGAAATAAATAATGCACTCTAATAACAACTGAAGACTTTGCTGTTACCCTAAGCTAGGTACCAGATGCTATGAGGTCAGAGGCAAGCATGGCCTGATGGGAGTAGTAGCAAAGTGTGAAGGATTCTGGCAGTGCTCCACAGGGAAGCGAAATGGTGCTTAATATATAGAGCTGCTGGGATCAGAATGATGTGGAATAAGCTATATCCACCCAGGCCATGTTTAGGATGTTAGGATCACCTGTGATATTAAATTCCACATGAGGATGAAGGAGAGCAATTAAGGGCAAACCCTATCTTTCTGTTTCCTTTAGCAGGAGTATGCAGCCTTGGCTTTACCAGAAGGTGCTGCTTCAGATGACCCACTTGTTCCCATTTCACCCACAGATGACTACTTTTCTTTCATCAACCGCATCCATGAGAGGCAGCTGGAGGCTGCTCGGGGCAAAGTGAAGAGTCCACTCCTCAAACGTGCTGAGGCCCATGATCGTAGCACTTCTTCCTAAAAAATTTCTACAAACCTAAATCTGCAAGACCTCTTCTAGATTTACCATGCCTTACTTTCACCTCACATCTTCCCTACCCCAAAGCTATGAACAAATTCTACAAAACCCTTTCTAGATTTTTTTTTTTTGTTATCTCCTGTGACATATTCCATTCCTTGCAATTCCTCCTTCCTGGCTTCATCACAAGTTTTTGTGCCATGATCCTCCTCTCATGAACTAGTGCCCCCCGATGCATGCATTTACCCTTTTCCTCAGACCCATCATGCACTGGTATTTCTTCATCAGTCATGTGTCTGACCCACAAAAGATGCAGCATTCTCAAATATGCTCATATACACTATAGCTTTGTACTGCTATTCCACTTAAGGACTACTGGGTTTTCCCAGCTTTGTCAAGCTGTTTTTAAAAAATGGCAATAAAAGATGCTTTCTCAGAACTGGGTGTATAGTGAGTAGTTATGTATGTGCCAAGATCAAGTCCTACATGAAGGGACCATGCAAGTACTTTCTTAACTGTCAATTTTGCCAACTGCAAAATCTAGTTTTCAGTCCCTGTGTAAGCGGACTGCTAAAATTAGGTAGTTCTCAAAAAAGGACAGTTAGGCTACAAGCCCATATACATTTAACTATGAAGAATTCCAACTGAAGTCACTGAGGCTAACTTCTGAATGGACAGGGTCCATTCTTGACAGAAGTCAAGAAGGGAAATAAAGACAGAAGTAAGAGACAACTAGGTGTCCATCTGCCATTTGGAACCTTTATTTCTGGTTTCATCCTTCGTATGACAAGACACATATTCCAGTCAATCAAATGCTTGGTCAGCCATGTCTTTCTCCTTCTTTCCATTAGGTAGACTGGCCATCTTTGGCAGGGTTCTCACTTTTAAAGGACACGTTATGTCCACCCATTCATATTTTTATACTTTTTTTGGGTGGAGGGACACACACAGCTGCAAAACATCTGCTTCAGTGACTCATGGGAGTCGGCTTCACAGTCAACAACTGAAGAAGGCTCTTCACAAGCAGATTTTACTGCATATTCCATTTTTTAAGTCTACAGTTCTCAGAGAACCTCCACAAGCACAGCCAGTGGCCAGGCTGGCTGAGGGACTCTTGAGAAATAAGTCCTCCAAAAGTCACATTTACAAACCCTTGATTCCAACTTATACAGCCATAGTTCCCACACTGGAACTGAGCAAACACATATGACCACAGAACACTGAAACTGCTACTGCTCCTTCCAACACCATCTATTGGTAGACACTCAAAGAAAGCAATATAGTCCCTACCTCAGTATTCTTCTCCAACGCATCCCTCACACAGCATCATATTAACCCATAGCCAGGCCCCTAGGTTTTCAGATATATCGGGCCCCCTCTGGCACTTCAGTCTTTCACCCCACTATAGCTGATAGCCTAACCCTGGTCAACTGATGGGCCCCTAGTCACTGTGAGGCCTCTAGGCTTCAACCTAGTCAGCCTTATGAATATAGTCCAGGCCTCACATCACTATTTAGAAATGTTGTTAGAGACACCAGATCTCAATGGGTAAAGAAAGCAGCCCAAGAGAGGACCTGAACATGAATTTTGCTATTTTAAGAATACTGTCTATGTTTTCAATATGCAAAGAGAAAGCAATATATACCCTAGAAATATATGCCCTAGAAAATACCAGGTTACTTTTACTGGGAGATAAACAATATTTTCACTGCTATGTGTCAACATGTTACTTCCAATTTATAGTGACCCTTCTAGAGACTTTGAGGTGGATGAGATGTTCAAGAAACAGTTTATCATTGTCACCCTAGTGAATTTCCATGACACATAACTGAGATTTCCTTAGTCCTAGACTGACAGGCTATTCAGTATATATCTGAGGCCAGGCTTCTAATATGTACAGTGGTGCCTCGCTTAACGAGCGCACCGTATAACGATGAATTCGCATAGCGATCCCTTTTTGGGGATCACTAATGCGAAGGCATCCCAACCGCCGCAATGGGCAAAACTTGCATTGCGACGCCCGCGGATCAGCTGTTCGGCGGTTTCAAAATGGCTGCCAGACGCCCAAAATGGCCGCACGCAGCGTTTTTGCGCCCTGCCCTCGCTTACCGAGGATGCGAAAATGGCTGCGGATGGGGAAAACTTCGCTTAACAGTGAGTACAGAAGCCAATGGAACGCATTAAACTAAGTTTAATGTGTTCCAATAGCATTTTCCATCCCGTTTAGTGATGTTTTCTTATAGCGATGGCTAATCTGGAATGGATTAACCTCGCTATGCGGGGCACCACATGAAAAAGAAAACTGACAAACATACAAAGGAACAGTATGTTCTTTATTCCCTTGTCTGTAGCATATCTAGAAATCAATACAATTGAGTCAAAGTTAAAAGGTGTCCAGTCATGACAACTTTTTAAAAGGTGCATTTATTTGGTGAGGGAAAAGCTAAACCATCAGTCTTTGCCTGCCTGCAACCGCTCCGCCTCATGCTTCTTCCTCATCCACTCCTTGAAGCTTTCCAATTCCATTCTCTGGAAAAGACAGAAGTATTAGTTTTACCATCTCTCTCATCTTCTAAACATAAAAAAATGGATTCATGGCTGGGGCATATTTACCGTATAATCCTTATCAGGTGGAAACATCTGCAGAAAAGAATCAAGAAAAAAACCATGTAAGTGTAGGCAGAGAAAGATCTGAAAGTTATGTTTCATATCCAAATAGATCAATTTGTGCTATATAGACTTCATCATGACTAATAAGCAAACAGCAGATGAACTGGCAAGATCAGGAAAAGAACACAGGAAAGCAAACCATGCCACATTAGTAGTAAAAAGTGCATGATTTAATAAAAAGAGGGATTAAAAAACCCTTAGCAACTATGATTACAGAGCAGTCAAACTGCTGGTACCCTTCAATTTCTCACTGCTAAATATAGTAGCAAAACAGAACACCATACCATTAGAGATACAAAAGGGCTAGATTGAAACTGAATCATACTTAAAATAGGCTCAATATAAACAATGAGAGAAATTGGACATGCTTAAGTTCACTGCTTTTAACAGTGTACTGTACTGTAAATATGATTAACTCTGCTTTTAATCCAGAGCATTTTCTTAGCACCTAACAAATTCTGTCCCACCACATAGCCTAGTCAGAGTATCTCCGGCACCTCAAAGGAATAGTAAGAAAATCAAAATTCTAAAAGTGAACAAACTGGTCAGCACCAATCCAGGTGCTGTTGGACTCCAAATATCTTCAGGTCACAATTCACTATCCAAGCATAATATTAAACATGGGGGAATAACATCCTTTAATGTTAAGCATATACTTTCCTTGAGACAAAATATAGGAGTTCTAGCTTTTATGCTACAATTTTGCTTTTTATTAGTCCTTCTAATATCCAATTCAGGAAGTGAGTTATCACTAGCATTGTAACCACAAAAGTATAACTGAGAAATAACAACAAAATCAGGGTTATGTAAATACATATACACAAACCAACTCTGAAACATAAGGTAACAAAACATTAATAATAATAAACAGTTAAGTGAAGATTAAGCATACTTAGTAGCCACAAGGGAAGAAGCAGTGGAAAAAAGTCCCCTTTTGAGAAAAAGATTGGAACTCTGAACATCATTTAGAAGTCAGTACACATTGCCAGATTTGTTGCAATCCCATTTCCTGTTATTTAATATTCCTCCCATTCTAACATAAAAATAGACCAGTTACTCTTGCCAAGTGGTGGATTGAAACAAGGCAAGTCAAAGACATCTCTCATGGGCAATGGCAGCCTTTGCAAATCTGCTAGTCAAAATGTAGGAAAATGACTACTCCAATCTGAAACTCAACAGCAAAATTTAAAGAATTCCCTTAAAAACCACAGGAAACATTTAGAAATCACTGTAGTAGCCCATACTGTTCTCCTTTCCCTAGTAACAGAAGACTGACCTTTGGTTTATTTAAAGATTCTTGAAAAATCTGCATCTCGCCTGCAAACCAGAACATAGCAATAGGGAAGGATAGATACAGTACCATCTGTAGGAGAAAGAAGGGGAAATGTTAGATTAAGACAAAGATGCATTGATTCCAACCAAGACGACACTTTGCAGCTTTTTATTCAATCCTACCCAATTTCCCTCCCCTTTTCCTCAAGAAGCTGATCATCACGTGAAAGGAAGATAAAACTTCTAATTCTAAAGCAATCTGGTTTAAATCTGAGAGAAACAAGGAAGGACCACTGGAAACACAGGGCTCTCTAAAGCAAAGGCCACGCCAGCCCATTTTAGGTATCTTTATTCAGTATTTCAGCCTAAGAAACAGGGTGGATAAAAACCATTTTTTAAAATCAAATTGATTTCAGCCACAATTTAAACTTCAAAAACCTGACTTTTTTATTTAAATAGTCAAAACCCGTTTTTTAAATTTAAATCAAATCCATCCTGGTGCACACAATTATACCAACAAACATTTTTAACACCTGTGGACAGAAAAGCCTTGACGACTCATAAACGCTCCTGCTTATGATGTGATCCACAAAAACTCACATTAAAAATAAGTCTTCAAGGTACCACATGTTTTTGTCTTGTTTCATTAGATCTTGCCTGATATACTATCAATAAGTATATCATCCATTCTTTGCATTTAAAGGGAAAATGCACATACGTACGGGGATATGCTTTTATAACGTGCTTATATAGTTAACAAACAGCATCACGGTTTTAAAGGCCAGTGACTTGCTCCTGCATGATGTCATCCCATCATAACACACGGAAATCTTCCGTGGATTGAACCCACACAACCTGGCTGCTCCCTTCAACCCGTCTCTTGGGCAAAGGAAGCAGAAGGGCTCACACCAGAATTTGCACCAGCGGGTTTGGCCCGAAGGTGCACCCCGCCGGCCTTCTAAGCCGGAATTCACCCATCCCGGGGGGGGGGGGAAAGGAGGCCCTTGGGACACCGACCCGGAAAATCTCCAACTTCAAGCGAAACATCCCGCCAGCGAAGAAGAGAACGCCGCCGCCTCGACTTATGTGCTCTGAGTCCCCGCCCCCGGAACGACGGGAAGATGGCGCCCGCAACCAACATGGCGCCCGCGACCATCGGAAGAGGAACGCCCCTGCTCCCGTATGACCAATCGGACGGCTGCTGTTGAAAGACATCTGGTGACGCCAACACCGACCGGCGGACGGTTGGTCGAGCGTTTTATGTATCTCGGCGGCGATCTTACGTCATTTTTGTGCGCCTCGCTGGGCCTGAGGAGGAGACGGTTGCGATGCCGGAGCTGGAAACGGTGTTGGGGAAGCAGGAGCTTTTCTTCGTGAGTAGGGCCGAGCAGAGGATGTTGGGGGCGAGGATTTTGCATGAGGCTTTCCCGCGGTGTTTTCTCTCAAAATTTAATGGATCTGCGCTTAACAAGGGAGCCTTTTTAAAAAAGAAAAGAAGAAAGAAAAAGAGAGGCTTCATTTGAGCATGTGCAGAGTGTTTTCCTCTCTGTGTTTAAAAAAACTATAAATTGACCACGCGAGGTGGGGGGAAGAGGTGGGTGACTTCTTGTTGCGTGAATATGGACCCTCGGACCAGGGCAAGGGCAGAGGATCCAGCTTTACATTACCTGAAGTAGTTACTGCTTATCCTCAAATCACGGTCAGTCTTAGGTTGACAAGAGGGCAGGAAAGAAGGGGTGTCGTGGAAAAGGTCGGCGAGGAACATGTAGTTGTTGTGTATATACAGCCCTTCAAGAAAAAGACACGTTTGAGAACTTATGGGTGCAGAAAACAATAGGCACAGCACAGTTTTTTGCTAATAGGAAGTAGCTGGAGGCTAAGAATTCTGTGTTGCGTTTGTGTAGTACAGATTTATGTCTTGAAATACACAACATTACTACCCAGCCACTTGCCATTCACAGAAACTTGCAAAGCACTTCATATGTCTTATTTTGTGACCAAGGCCAGCTTTATTTCTTTCTCTCTTGATTTTTCCTTGGAATATTGAATACAAGTAAAGAATATTATGATACTGTACTATTGTATCTGTTATTTGCACTTACACAAAGGCTGAAGCAAATCAGTCCATTCCTTTTTTGCTCCCAAATGCAGGGTTGTGTTTTTTTCTGTGCCAGGCGGGAGGCTTATATTTTTTATCAAGCTACTGTAGTACATTTCAAATGGGCTTTCCCCCCATATGGTTATTTGTGACACATTGTGGTAAAGATGGGAGGGCATGTCCATAGGCACTGTTTCAATGCTGTAGGCATTGGGGCATGATGTTCAGGACCAGGAATACATCCCAGCATTCTTTCTTCTCCTGAAATCATCCTCCATTTAAAAAAATCTTATATGAGATTAGCACTAGATCACCCTATTGCCTTCCTTCTCTCTGGGCTGTCATTATTATTTTGTCTATTTACACTCCATAAAAGGATCAGCAGAGGCAAAACCAGAGAATGGGAGGGAAGAAAGAAAGGGAGACTGTGGGCTGAAATGTGAATCGTACTGCATCCAACATAAACTGTAAACTCCTGCATCAGTCTGCAGGCCCTGAGTTGGCACTGACTGTGATTTCAAATCAAGTTGCATATGAAATGAGTTTGGGTCTCAGTAACCCTTAATTGAGGCTGGCTGGATAATTCAGAAGTTTTGGTATCTGACTGTGAAGCTAGAAGTTGGGAGTTCAATTCCCCACTGTGCCTCCTGCAAGTAGGACCAGCCTGTGTGGCTTTCAGTAGGCTGCACAGGCCCAGAGCATCCTCAGAAGAAGAGAATGGTAAACCACTTCTGAGTATTCTGTACCTGGGAAACCCTGAAAAGCCAATTCTGCCATAAGTTGGAATTGATTTGTGGCACATTAATATCATTAATACTTAGTGGTGAGCGCTTCCCATATTGCAGACAGAGAGGGTAAAGCCAAGGTGAATTTTTAAAAAAGCTTGTGGAAGTACATCTAGTGAATTTGTGATGGATAAAATTCAAACTGATAACATTCTAGTGTTTCCTTTCCATTGTTAGCTACTTCAGAGCTCGTTAACATGCACATTGATGATCTCTTCATGTTCAGTGTCCTGAACATTGCTGTGCTGTTGCTGTTCTGAATCTGTAATGATCCATAAGGAAGGAAACTGATGTTTCAGCTCCCTAAACATTTATGTTACTTCTTTCTCCACATAGGAAGAGGAAGATCTACAGTATGAGGAGGAGATCTTGCGTAATCCTTTCTCTGTCAAGTGCTGGATCCGCTACATTGAATTCAAGCAGAATGCACCCAAGCATATCCTAAACCTAATCTATGAGAGAGCTCTTAAGGAGTTGCCAGGCAGGTATGCAGTTTATAATCTCTCTCTCTCTCTCTCTCTCTCTTCATTAGTAGGACAGTGTTGAAGTACAATATGTAGGGAATAAGTTAGAAATGAAGGACTTCTAGCCAGGAATAGTTGTACAGGTACTTTACAGAGCTTCCTGTTAGGCCCATAAGCAATAAGAGAATACTTAAATGTGAAATGATACCTGTGCAGGTAACTGTTCTGTGCAGACAGGAAAACTGTTGGGCAGGATGTTGCATACAGGGAAGCAGTTGTATTGGGGCTTAATATTGAGAGGACTAAATTGAGTTAGCTTTTATATGCTCTGTAGGGTTATATGGAGTTCAGTTTTGGTTATACTTAATGTTATGTAGATCTCAAGATCTTGTTGCAAATTGGCATTTGGTCCCCAGAGTTTTAAAGAAAAAGCTTGCATTCCATATGATATTATAAAATGTTACAGCCCAGATTTTTAGAAAATTTGAGGCTGTGAACAGTGGCGTGAGCACCCCATCTTGTCTCCTCTTTGGCCTGTGGAATGTCACACAATAAGTTCCCCACTGAAGCTAGGTGAGGCAGAACCCTTTGAGGAAGCCCCAGAAGAACCTGGATGACCCTGGATCTGGGACAACATGAGGAAAACCATGGAAGGGATGGGGCAATTGGGACTGGAGAAGACTAAGATGACCGTGGAGTGTGGTATACAAACTGGAGGCCAGCTCCCACAACCTTATAGTTGAGGTAGTTGATGAAGAGTCCTGGAGGGATGTCTTAGAGGGCCCTAATGAGGAATACCAAGTGGTGGTAGAACTCTCAGAGGATCCCAAGCCACTGGGGGACTAGAAGTACATATATAAGGAGGACCCTTGGGACTGGAGTCCTGTTCTAGCTTTGGGTCCCCTGGGATGAGGTAGAATGTCACCTTAAACTCTTGCCAGCTTCATCACACACACACCTCGCCATACTGAGGAGAGTGGGAGTAAAGGAAGAGGAAGTCCTGGACTCAGAAAGCCAGCCCTAGGAAGCCAACCACTACTTAACAGAAATGATGATGGAGGCAGCAGCAAAGAGCACACTAGGTTTAGGAGTGAGCACGACCAGAGGGGAACAAACTGAGGAACCACCTTCTTCCCTTTGTGTGGGCATATCATTCATCTTTATTGTGGGCCATCTGGCTCAGTTCAGCGAGGGCATTCACATTAAGGAGGGAGAAGGACTTGGACTCTTTGAAGCTTGCCATGAGTACCCAAGCAGTGCTAAGAGCTAGTCCGGACTCAATTGAGGACTATTCCATTGTAAACCTTCACCTTGTTGCATTTTGGTTCAGCCTGCTGTATTATTGTCCATGGATCAAGGAATGAAGTAGGAACCACCTTGTTGTTCCAGCCAGGAATGGAAGGGCTCACAATATTGCTGTGAGAACAAGAGGAAAAAATTATACCTAATGTGTACACTATAATAATGACAATTTGTTTTTCAGGTGGAAGGGATAAATAATGCTGAGGTAGATGGGTATCTGTGCTGTCCCTCTTAGCCTCTTTGTAGGACTTGTTTTCTCCAAAAAAATAACAAAGTCACCTAAATTCAGTTTCTCTCCCTGTGACAGCTAAGATCAACACAGCAAACTCTTTTCCCTGGAGGTGAATGGTTTCTCTAATTGTGTTTTGCAGCTACAAGCTATGGTATAATTACCTAAAGCAACGGCGGAAACAGGTGAAGAGCAGGTGTGTAACAGACCCCAGCTATGAAGAGGTGAACAACTGTCATGAGCGGGCCCTGGTCTTCATGCACAAGGTAGAGTAGAGAGTGCTAAACTGTGAGGGTCAGTAAAGTCTAGAATGAGAGGAAAAGTAATAAAAGCCAGAATTTGATAGATTGGTGGTGATACTTAACGTGGAGGCCTCATATTTGTTTAATTCCATAGCATCTCCCCCACCCCATCTGTTATGATAATTGAGTCTAAATTGGCTACGTTTGCTTAGGGAAAGAGGGCTTCTGGTTATAATAGAAATCCTTTTGAAATGTGGTGTTCCAGTGAAAAAGGCAATTTCAGAATTAGTTATTAGTAAGGCATAGGCTGAAAACACCATTATCATGTGGAAGTGGATTTTAGCTTAACCTACGTGGGGGAGACAAACACACCAGAGGGTCTTATTTTCATTTTTGGATTCTTTCATTTAATTCCAAAATAGAGTCTCTTTCATTTGCCATTTCCTTCACATCTTGTCTGACACATGACTTGGGAATTTTTTAACCCAATAGCATCTTGAGAGCTACTCTCAGTGGCAAAGCAGAATATCTTGGGGAAGTGGAGTGAGAATTTTGATTTGTAGAAAGACCTGGATTGGTTTTGGAGTAACTGAGGAATGCTCTTGAGCTTCAGACCTTCCTTGTGGGTGAGATCTGTGTACTGCTGATTTCGGGGGTGCCTTCTGTCTTTATTTTACTCTGTATCTATGCCTGTTTTTGCCTTTTTTTTCCCCCTGGATTTTGGGGGGAGGGAATTTTTCCTCTCCCCCCCCTTCCTTTCTTGGGTTATTTTTGCAGTCTCCTGCTCTGCACTGGTGGTGGTGCACTCAAGGAAAAGAAGGGATAAAGTAGTACAGCCGGAGGGGGGAGGAAAAATAAATCTTATCCTATTCTAGTCATTTTGATTTCACTGGGGGACTTTGACTTCATTTTTGTCTTTATTTGCTTCCTTGCTTCTCTTGGGTTTGGGGAGAAAGGACAGCGTTTCAGGTTTTTCTTTTAAGTTTTGCTTTCTGCGCCCCATTTTGTCTGCATGTGGATGTTTTCTTTATTAGACTGATTTGTTTTTAAATTCTGTTATTTGTTTACTCTGGGTTACTCACTTAGCTTCTGTTTATT